TATGAGAAAAACAAGGAAATCGGAAGCACCTATGCCAAGGGAGCAAAGAATTGCTCACAATTTGACCTAGACCCTGGAAGAGAGGTTAAGAACTTGCTCGGCCAAGTGACTTTGAAGGGAAAGAGTTTGCTGAATAATTTTTCAAAATTCTCATAAAATGTTCAAAGTGCTTACAAAATGAATAAGGAATGCAATTTATAGGAGCGGATCAAGCTAGCTAATGGCGCCAACTCAAGCAAGAAAATTAGGTGCCAAGATTTGAATTTCAAATGGAATTTAAAATTCAAATTTTGGATCACCCATGTGCTAGTCCGTGAATGGTGCTTCTAGCCATCATCTAAGTTTAATTTAGAATGTATTTGGATTGAATTTAGTCACACATGTTCAGCACCAACAAGGCTTAAATCATGTGATCCAAATTCAAGTCAAATGACTCCTAAATTAAACTTAGATCAAGCCTAATAGTCCAATTATTGAATTCCTTCTATATTCCTAATCTAATGGCCTAAATACAATGGCCAAGCAAATACAATGAAAATGAAAAATTACAAGGATTAAAATGAGCCCAATATTGGGTACCCAAAATGCAAAGGCCCATGAAGTCCAACACTAGGCTCAATAAGCCTAAAGTCCAAAAAGTCCTATACTAAGGTCCGTAATACAAGACCAGACAAAATGAAATCTTACACTACTCAACATGCAATAAAGGTGGTCATTCATGTAAGGCCCAAGTGAAGAGAACCCTAGACCCACCAAGCCCATGGGACCCACTCAGCTCTGAAATGGTCAAATCTTCAAGTAATTTTCTGGCCATAACTCTAGGAGTTGGACCCTTGGTCCATGTTTCTTCCGTCACACTCTAAAAAAAATCCAGCAATGCACCCCTATAGAATCGTCATCCAAGTTCTCAACGTCTTCAGCCATTATAAGCATAAACTTCGCCTTGCATCTGTGATTTCGTGAAAACTTTTGATCACAATTAAATCACAACCCCTTCTCTCGCCAAGTGACTTTGAAGGGAAAGAGTTTGCTGAATAATTTTTCAAAATTCTCATAAAATGTTCAAAGTGCTTACAAAATGAATAAGGAATGCAATTTATAGGAGCGGATCAAGCTAGCTAATGGCGCCAACTCAAGCAAGAAAATTAGGTGCCAAGATTTGAATTTCAAATGGAATTTAAAATTCAAATTTTGGATCACCCATGTGCTAGTCCGTGAATGGTGCTTCTAGCCATCATCTAAGTTTAATTTAGAATGTATTTGGATTGAATTTAGTCACACATGTTCAGCACTGTGTCACCTCTTGCATTCCCAAGTATGATTCCATCACATTCACCCGACAAAACGCTTAGTGTGGATCTAGTCGGTCAAAACCCGACTAGGTCCGTGTTAGCTCGATTCCATTCGCCTATAAGAGAGGTACTCGGCAGCTACCCGACTGAACCCTCAGCATGGGCCTTGTCGGTCATAACCTGACTCGACTTATCCTCGCACACCCCACGCCATCGTGATAAGGACGGTTAAGGAAATCCCTTCGTTCTCGGGGCCCAAGAGGCCCATGAATGAGGTACCATAAAACCCAAAACCCTAGAGTTGAGAAGGCAGATTACACTTTGAATGCTCTGGCTTTGAGGCTTGACCTAGGAAAAAACCCTAGTGCACCCTTTGGCCGGAACAAATTGCAACACGAACCACTATCCACAATTAGAGAACAAGCTTTATCCAAAATTTTGCACCTTGTGTGAAAAATGTTCTCTCTTTGTGAAGCATGTGATTCACTAGGTTGACTTCCTAGAAGCCTCCTAATCATCAAAAGTTGATCATCATTGGGATAAGCATTTTCAACTTGACGGTCTTCATCACTAGATTCACTATCACTTAAAGTAGTTGAACTAGTCTCATCATGACTACTATAAGTGTCTTGTCTTCTTAGAATCATGATTTTTTTATTGGGACATTGAGAAGCTATATGGCCTTTCCCAAGACATTTAAAGCATTTAATGTCACTAGATTTACTACTAGAAGTGATAGTTCCTTTGCCTTTTTCTTTTTCTTTATCTTTTTTTTTTCATGACCCTTGACAAAATTCTTGGAGAAGTCATATTTGGAAAATTGACCCTCCCTCTTGTAATCTTTCTTGACATAAGAAGTAGAGTGAGTTTTATCTTTCTTAAAAGAATCTTTCCTTAAGTATTGTTGTTCCACCCTTATACAAAGTTGGACCAAATCATCAAGGTCCCTATAAGGGAGTAACTCCACTCTATCTCTTATGTCAAAATTTAGACCACTCAAGAATCTAGCAATGGTCAATCTTTCTTCCTCCCTTATGCCAACCCTCATTAAATATAACTCCATTTTTTGTTTATACTCCTCCACACTCATATTCTTTTATTGGAGTCTTTGAAGCTTATCCATAAGCTCCCTACTATAATAAGAAGGTATATGCCTTCTTCTCATAGCACTCCTCAAATCATTCCAATACTCAATGGGTGGATCATTATGGAGTCTCCTTTCCCTAACTAAGGTTGTCCACCAATACATAGCTTGTCCTTGGAAAGCTAACGTGGCTAAGGGAACCTTTCTTTCTTCCCCTACTTGGTGACAAGTGAAGATTTGCTCTACTTTCATTTCCCAATCCAACTAGGCATCTACATCCTCTTTGCCATGGAAGGAAGGGAGATCAATTCGTGATTCCCTAACCTTTGGCTCTCTAATGATTCTCCTAGGAGTAGGTTGATAATATTCATCTAAATTTAAACTTTCTACCTCCTCTTGGCTTGTGGAGCTATGGGAACTTTTATGGCTTTTCTTTTTTTGTTTTAGTTTTGTTAATCCAATCTAGAGCCAATCTAGGACTTTCCATTTGTGTACCAACCTTTAGGTGTGTCTTAATTTTTAGTCTTTTAGTCTTGATTAGAATTCTTTGAGTTTGTCATCTTATAACTCCTATTTGGTTTAACTTTCTAATTATGCATTTTCTATTTTTCTTCTTGGATTCTTGGCTGGAAGTTGCATCAAAATTTTGCAAAGAGATCAAACATTGACTCACAAACTCTAGAGGAAGGACAAGAACTCTAAGGCTAGGCGGTTTTGGAAATCATTCAACAATTCAATCCTTAAACCTCCTAAACAACCTTCACAAGAGTGATCCATCCTTTTCTATTGTGAGGTGGCCTTTGGTCTGATACCAAAAATGATGGCAATTCCAAGTGAAGAGGATGAATATTCTCCACTCCTTGAATTGTTTGGCCTTTGATCACTTCCTTGAGGAGATTAGATGATGATCTAATCACTGTGATGAGGAGAAAGATGAGAGAAACAAGGAAATCGGAAGCACCTGCCAAGGGAGCAAAGGATTGCTCACAATTTGACCTAGATCCTAGAAGAGAGGCTAAGAACTTGCTCGGTCAAATGACTTGCCAAGTGACTTTGAAGGGAAAGAGTTTGCTGAATAATTTTTCAAAATTCTCATAAAATGTTCAAAGTGCTTACAAAATGAATAAGGAATGCAATTTATAGGAGCGGATCAAGCTAGCTAATGGCGCCAACTCAAGCAAGAAAATTAGGTGCCAAGATTTGAATTTCAAATGGAATTTAAAATTCAAATTTTGGATCACCCATGTGCTAGTCCGTGAATGGTGCTTCTAGCCATCATCTAAGTTTAATTTAGAATGTATTTGGATTGAATTTAGTCACACATGTTCAGCACCAACAAGGCTTAAATCATGTGATCCAAATTCAAGTCAAATGACTCCTAAATTAAACTTAGATCAAGCCTAATAGTCCAATTATTGAATTCCTTCTATATTCCTAATCTAATGGCCTAAATACAATGGCCAAGCAAATACAATGAAAATGAAAAATTACAAGGATTAAAATGAGCCCAATATTGGGTACCCAAAATGCAAAGGCCCATGAAGTCCAACACTAGGCTCAATAAGCCTAAAGTCCAAAAAGTCCTATACTAAGGTCCGTAATACAAGACCAGACAAAATGAAATCTTACACTACTCAACATGCAATAAAGGTGGTCATTCATGTAAGGCCCAAGTGAAGAGAACCCTAGACCCACCAAGCCCATGGGACCCACTCAGCTCTGAAATGGTCAAATCTTCAAGTAATTTTCTGGCCATAACTCTAGGAGTTGGACCCTTGGTCCATGTTTCTTCCGTCACACTCTAAAAAAAATCCAGCAATGCACCCCTATAGAATCGTCATCCAAGTTCTCAACGTCTTCAGCCATTATAAGCATAAACTTCGCCTTGCATCTGTGATTTCGTGAAAACTTTTGATCACAATTAAATCACAACCCCTTCTCTCGTCGCTCAACCACTTAAGCCTCGGATAATCTTCGAAAGCGCGGAGGATGGTAGGGAGTGGGAAGCAAAGGTGGTAATGGTTTGGGCGGGGGTAGCCCTTGTGGCGGAGAAAACGTTTTGCTGACTTGGGTCAAATGTGTCATTGGAAGAGGGTGAGGTCTATACCAACGATAGAGATCTTGTAGTTTTTCTTCATGTAATCGAGCAAGCCCAGCTGCTTGAGACAAAGAAGAGGGTTGTTGCGCCAAAACCTCGCGTCAAACCTCCGTTTTGAGGCCGAAAATGAAACAGCTCAGCAAAAATGAAGGAGGTAGTCCATCAATACGATTAGATAAAGCCTCAAATTCACTTAAATAATCAGCCACTGTAGAAGTTTGCTGAAGCTTAAACAACTTACCCTTAGGATGGTCGAATGCCGCGGGAGCAAACT